GTTTTTCTCGATTTGATTAGCGTTTCTTATACGCAAGAAACATGTAATAAAACATAAGGGTAATAGTTCATTCTAGCTAGGTTTTAACTTGGAAACTATTTAGTCGAGCTTTTGCTTTTTCTGCAAGTAATCTTGCATCCTCTGGAATTTAAGAATGGCCCAAACCAAATGCCAGAGCCCTAACTCCGGCCAAAGAGCCCCCGTGGTATGAAGGAGTGACCTCGAAGTCTGCCACGTCATGAAGTTACTCAGCCGGTCTCGACCTCCGGTTCTTATCACAAGATCCGGATCCGGCACAACCGATGTATACATACACTCCTCAATATCATTCACCTCCAAAACCGCAGGTCCATTTCCATCATCACACTTTCTCACACAAGATTCTCGAACAGCGTGAAGAATCTCATGGCTTGTACTGTAAGCAACGCAAACCACAACCACTAGACCTCTGTTGTCTTCCGTAACTTCCATCAGTCTCTGCGCCGCGGCTCTAAGACGCTCGTTTAACGAGTTTAAATCACCGGCAAAGATCACTCTCAGTCCCTTTAGATTCCCGGAGATAGCTTGCTCGATTGTGAGCTCAACTTTCTCCAGCATCAGATCCATCACACACTTGACTTCTTCAGGTTCTCTCTTGAAATTATCTACACCAAAAGCGTAGAGTGTGACGTACGGTACACCAATCTCTTTGCAGTATTGAAGAACATATGTTACGGATACGAAACCGGCTCTGTGTCCTGCGTCTAGCTCTTTAAGATTGTGTTTCTTGGCGAATCTGCGGTTTCCATCCATGATGAATGAGATGTGATTAGGGATTGGACCGACGCATAGAACTCTAAATATGAATCTCCTCGTTAGATTCATCAGACTATTGAAGATTTTAGCGAGGTCACCTACTTCTTCACTGGTGTTCATCTCGAAAATTTTTGATTTATGTTATCGAAGTGGAGAATTCAAGAAAATTTGAGTTTTTTTGGTTTTGTTGTGAGTGAAATTATAAACAAGAGAAATGAAAGTTTTTTTTCTTTTTTCTTTTTTGAGGGAATGCAAATGGAATGAGCATATGATAGGGCTGATTTTTAGGGGAAGGGAGAAAATGGCTGATAAATGATTCTTCTTGGCTTAACTAATCTGTAATGTCACTTATTAAATCAATATAATTTAAATTTTATATGTTCACTTTTTTTTTGGTTCAAAGTACAATTATTTAAAATTATCTCTTTTTCCAATAGGTCACTTAAGTTTCTTTTTAAATTAATGATTTCATATTTCTGGTATAAAATTACATATATGAGAGGATGCCAATCTAAGCAATAATTGAATTATCGTTGAGATTATTTAGTGATATTTTAATTACGCAGATGAGACGAGAGAATGCCAATCAAAATCCAATCTGGTAAAAGCATAAACATCATAGTAGGATAACAGTGTTATTTTCATTATGTCCCACTTACCCTTACAAAACCATTTCACACCCACTTTGACAGGACTAGGTGTTTAGTCCGCGCCTTGCGCGGACCGAAGAGTTTCATTGAAACGTATTTTACGTTAGAAATCGAAAAGAATTAAATCAACAATTTGATACATACAAAATTAAAATAAAGCTAATCTATGATAATCATTGTTTAACATTAAATACCTTAAAATTAATATTAATAAGTGTATAAAATTAATAAACACAAACTAAAATCAAAATTAATATGAATTATTCATCTTTTTCTCTTTTTATCTTTTAATTTTTTTCTCTATCATTTTCTTCTTTCTTTCTTTTTTTCTGTTTTCTTTTTTCTTTTTTGTTTTTTTCCTATTTTTTCTTCTTTATTTTCTATGTATTTTCTTACTTCTTATTTTTCCGATTTTTCTTTTTCACGTCTTCTTCTTCTTCTCCACATCTTTTTCTTCTTCTTCTCATACATCTTTTAATTTTCTTCTATTCCAGATTTTATTCTCTTTCTTCTTCTTATTCAATGTTTTATTATTCTCTTTCTTTTTTTTTTTTTTCATTTTTCATTGCCATCGTCATCTTTGTTGTCACCGACTTCCTATTCTTCTGGTGTTTTTCGGCTTTTACTTCATCTTCATATTCTTCTACTTTCTCTAATTCTTCATCTTTTAAAGTATTCATCCAATTTTTTTTCTTTCCTATCTTCTTCTTCTTCTACTTTGTCTTCTATTTTATTTTTTTTCTCTTTCTATGGATTTTTATTCCTCTTCTTCCAATTATCTTCCTCTCTCCATATTCTTCATCATATTTTAAAGATATTTGTCTTATCTGTCTTTCTACTCTTCTTCTGGTCTATATTTTTCCTTTCTTAGTTTTTTTCCTTGTATTTTTGAGTTTTTCTTCATCGTTATTTGTTTTCAAATTGTTCTTCTTTATTGTCTTCATCTTTTTTTACTTCTTATTTGTCTTCATTTTTTCATCATATTTACCTTTTTGTAATTTGTCTTCTTCATCTTCTAGTTTTCTTCCTTTTTATTAATTTTTTCTTTCACTCCGTCTACTATCTACTGGTTTTCTTCTATGACTTCTCTTCTGATTATCTTTTTTTTCTTCTCCAATTGGTCATTTGATTTTTTTGTTCATCGTCTTCGACCTATCCGGCTTTTTTTTATCTTACTTGTTCACTGTATTAATTTTTGTTCATATTTTCATTGTTTTCTTATTCTTCTCATTTTTCTTTATTTTTTGAGCTGTTCATATTCTTTGTTTTTTCCTTCTTATCTTTTATTATTTTTGACTATTTCATCTTATGTATTGTATTCATCTTATTTGACTTCTTAATTTTTTTCATTCGGTTTTTTCTTCGTTTCTTTCTATTGATTTTCTTTGTTTTATTTGTCTGCCCCATCTTCTTTGTTTTCTTTTATTGTCATTGGATTCTCTAAATTCTTATTCTTCCACATCTTTTATTCTTCTTCTTTTGGTTTTATTAGTCATTTTTATCTTCTGCTTCTTACTTCTTCTTTGTCATTTTTTTTATCCAAACTTTTTTTCTAATTTTTGTTTGTCTTTTTCACATCTTTACTTTCTTCTATTTTTTCTTTTGCATCTTCGGGTTTTCATCTTCTTTTACTTTATTTTCTTCATTTACCGTTTTTTTTCTTCTTTTATTTTAATAATTTGTATGAAAATAACAGCAAAATTGTTATACAAATTATGAATATAAATTAATTAATTAAGGATATTTAAAAATATTTTATTAAATAATAAAGAGTAATTAGTCACCTAGATTGAATGAGAGAGCTTATAGCGAAAAAATTACTGTGCATATTATATATGATATAATTTTAAATGTTTTTTTGATTAAATTCTAATTTTTAATATTTGTTTATTTTCTATTTTAAAGATTTTTTGATTAAATTCTGATTTTTAATAATTTTTATTAAATTTAAATTTTTTTATTAAATTCCGATTTTAAATAATTTTTCTTAATTTCACAATTTTTCATAATTTTTAATTAATTTACGATTTTTAATAATTTTTATTAGATTTCAATTTAAAAAATATAAGAAGGGTAAATGGTAATTAGCCACCCTAAGATTGAATGAGAGAGCTTTGACTCAAAATTTTACTTTGCTTATAATATATATGATGATTTAGGTTTGTAAAATATATACAAACTGAAATAATCTTTTTTTTTTGTTACAAACTGTTATATTTGTTTTATTTTTTGTAAAGGCTATATTTGTTTTACCGGACTTTATTTAATGTTGGCACTAAACTACGGTTTACAAATTAAAACTATATGTTTTGCCATTAAATACGATCAATAACCAATTTTTGTTTTCATTAGGAAAATGGCAAAAGCAAATGAGAATTGTTTCACCAGAAAAGGAAATGAAAGTTATTTACCCCGTGACAAACTATTTTCCTTTAATGAGAATCCAAGAGGAGTCTCTCGATCGATGATTCCAAAATAAGTAATGTGTTGCACCTGTAGAAAAATCTTACTATATTCGAACAATTTACTGATTTGAACGTAAAATGTCTTCAAAAAATATTGATCCGTTGTCGTTTGTTTTAACATTTTTAACCAAACTTAAGATCTTAATTGTGAAATGTGCTTAAAATTGAAGAGAGCCCACCACAAATCAATTTCTGTCTGCTTTTTCTTAATTTCCAAGCAAAGTTGCAAGTTGCTCCTTCCATTATCATATACCACACTATCAATTATTCCTCCCACCTTTCCTTACAGAAGATTTTAATAATTACTAACATTGTAATTATTATATTTCAGTATTTGCACACACACTGCGTAAATACTAAATACATACATTATCCCCGTCATAACAACTGCTGAACTACTGATAATATATTAAAGCAAAGCAGAAGTTTGTTATAATGATAGTAGATGTTATAAATAAACACTGTAATTAATAGCTTACATGTATAGAGAACCGGAGGTTCTAAAACTAAAATCATACTATTTCTAAGCCGATAGATGAGTTTTTGTAATCGCCAAAGAGAAACAATTTTGGTTATAAAGTAAATGAATTTATTCCTTTTGATTATCAGCATAAAGTCTACAGCTATATATCCAACAATTTTGATTAGTGGTAAAATTATTTATCTGATAAGATGTGATGACAAATCAAAAAAAAAAAAGGAAATCATTATTCAACTATCAACTTAGTTGTAAAAATGTTGACCTCTTAACCATTGATTATTAACTATATATCATCGCCATTTCATTGTAACCCTTACTACTTCCTATATAATAAACTCCTATCTCACATGCACAAACACTAAACATCATCAACTCTCTCAAAGGCAAAGATCCGCCATGGAACATTCTCCCACCTTCCTCCTCCTCCTCTCCACCGTCCTCCTCCTCCTCCTCGCAGCCACTCCCGGAACCCTATCTCAACCAGCCGCAGCTCCGGCCCCACCAGGACCCACAAACGTCACCAAAATCCTCGAAAAGGCTGGCCAGTTCACTATCTTCATTCGACTACTCAAATCCACCGGCGTCGCTAGCCAACTCTACGGCCAGCTCAACAACTCCGAAAACGGAATCACTATCTTCGCACCAAGCGATTCTTCCTTCTCCGGTCTCAAAGCAGGAACCCTTAATTCCTTAACCGACGAGCAACAAGTAGAGCTTGTTCAGTTTCATGTCATACCAAGCTACGTCTCTTCCTCAAACTTCCAAACTATCAGTAACCCTCTCCGGACTCAGGCCGGCGACTCCGCCGATGGACATTTCCCTCTCAACATTACGACCAGTGGCAATACCGTAAATATCACCTCCGGTGTAACCAACACAACCGTCTCCGGCAATGTCTACAGCGATGGACAGCTCGCTGTTTATCAGGTTGACCAGGTTTTGCTTCCTCAGCAAGTTTTTGATCCTCGTCCTCCGGCGCCTGCTCCGGCTCCGTCGGTACCAAAGTCGAAGAAGAAGAAGGAAGACGGTGATAAGGCCGGTGATGATTCTCCGGCGGACGCTTCTTTTGCTTTGCGTAAAGTTGGTTTTGTTCATAATGCGGTGTCGTTTTGCGTCATTAGCATTTCGCTCGCATGGTTTTATTTGTGATGATAAGTTTGTTTCTATTATTATTACTCATGATTTTTCTTTCCATGTGGTGATTTTGGGGTATTATTTCTCTGTTGATTTTCATGGATTTTTGTGTTGATTTACCCCATCTGTCTCTATTTTTATTTTTCCATATTCGAGCGAGTAAAATTTTGTTTTTGTTAATCTCTAGCTCGTTTATCAGTAGACACTAGCTTTTTTCCCCCCTTTGATCCCATCTTCACTATTTTTTTCCATACAAATACGGTATCCTAATATTGCTTAAAGGGAATCTTACCGCGAATGGCTCATTGAAAAAAAAAAAATGACGACGCCCTAACCCGTAAAAATTCATGCCATTTGGTATCAATGAAAAAGTAGTAACAATGTTATGTCATCAACGCATCATTGTGTCGATAAGTGATAGGACTTAGACCAAAACAAGGTTATGGACGAAATTTTAGTTAGTGAACAAACTTAATTCATAGCGTAAACCAAATTAAATTGATGGACCAAACTGCTCTATCATAATGTTATGGACGAAATTTGAGTTAGTGGACAAAATTAATTCATAGCGTAAACCAAATTAAGTTGATGGACCAAATGTATTGTTATATCATAATGGACTAAAATATGTGAGTTAATTGGACCGAAAATTGAAAATGTTATTCTATTTCATCTCCTGAACTTGCTACATCGTCTTTTAACATATGTAGCACTTTGTTTTTTGTTTGCTACAGAAACTAATGGGTGAAGATGAAGAAGGTTAAAGAAAACATAGGAGTGTAGATAAGTCTCTTGAAGAGATCTGTGTATTAAAAATAATAATCATGTGATGTACCTTAGAAGATCGATCGATACAATTATACATAGATATAAAAATATACTCATATTTTAGTATACTTTTCTTTTGTATAATATAAGTATATAACCCCAAATTATAATAACGACTCAGCTCAGAATTAAATAAAAAATAAAATGAAAAATTCAGCTTCATAAGTAATTAAATTTAAGATAAAGAAGAAAAAAAACATTATCTGTTCCAAGGATGTTTGAGTCCTTTCGGTTCATTATTTCTCACTAAGTAAATTCCCTCAGGTTTGGCAATCCATGTGCGAATTTGACCACATCGACTCTGAGAAGCTCCTCTATACGCTCTCCATATATCTTGAAAATACTCCATTTTCTGACCTTGCCTCAAGTGACAACGCCATACGATTCTGTTTCCTCCTCCCTCCTTAACAAAAATTTTGTAGCTCTCATTAAATTTCACATCATAGAGCTCCTTAACTTCGTTTCTGTTGGATGTGCATTTGACCATGAGAATGTTATCAGGACCGAGTTCGTTTCGAATTTCTAAAGTGTTTAGGAGGCACACGTCTCTACATCGTGGGTGTTGAGAATTACCAGTACTACACATCATACCTTCGTTTAAACCAAAACACATAGCAATTGATAATACAAAAATTATGAGATGATTCATCTTCTGGATCAAAAAATGTTTTTTGGAGTAATATGAATCTAAAAGTGTCAAAGGGTAGTATTTAGAGTTTCTTTTGTGGTAAAAAGCTTTAATGTTTTTATTAAATAATTTTCTTCAGGCAATAGCTAAATCTGGACACAAATATGAACCAATTAAGCTTAATAAGGTGAATTGGTGTCGAAAATTAAGGTGAATCAATAGGATTAGATCAAATGAATTAAAGCTTGCAAATTAATGTTGACCACTAAAATTGTACAAAAATCTTGGAATTGTATTACTTGAACATATATATATATATATATATATATATATCCTGATTCAATACTTGAAAAATGTTCTTAATCAAAAAAAAAAACCTGAAAAAATGTGCGTTATCTTAAACATAGTATGGAGTAAATAGAATTGAAAATGCACTAGTGATGATATGTATATATAAAAAATACGAATCTTAGTAATAGAGGCAACTCATTTATGTCAAAAGTTGTAAGACGAAGATGTATTAGAAACGCAACCCGTTATAATTTATAAAAACTGAGGTTTTCAGGGATTTTTTTATTTAAATAGTTATTTTATCATAGAAGTCTCTTCAATTTGAAAATAAATTATGCCCTACACTATTTTTTAAAGTACTTAAATAACCTGATAGTGGTAAAATCAAATTTGAATCATTAGAAATTGGAATCCATCCATGAACGAATAAATGCGTGCATGCATGCATGAAACATAGCCAGAGGGTTATTTAACGGTAACGAACATTCTGCTATGCGCTGTTGTGACACGTGGGGTCGAACTAATCTTCGTCAACCGAGATTTCCCAGTCAACTAAACCGAGCCGAGTGAGAAACTCTCCTGACAACAAATCTTGTCTCGTGCTGTACGCGTTTTGTGTTTCGCTTATTTAGTATGGATCTAACACCTTTTAAAACTAATTCAAAAGTAAAGAATTATCACACTTTTATATATTATTTATAATTTCTCAAACTTTTGATATGGGATAAATTCTAATACGTCTCTCTTACATTCATGAGTGGATATCTAACGTGTGAAGTTTGTAACATTGGATATTTATATATGATTGGACATAGGACTTGATAAAATAAAAAAAAATTGGAATCTGGTTCTTAGTTCAAGAGTGGAAAATTATCACACTTTTATATATTGTCCACAACTTTCCTGAAGTTTTAAAGAGAGACAAATTCTAACACTTGTGATCTTAATAGGTTAGATAATTGGAATGTTTCTTTCGTTGTCTGCAATGAGCCAAGATGCAAATAAAGGAATTTGCAGTTTTCTAAACAATACACTTCTACATACATATATATTGTAAACTTTTTAATACTTATCACTTCAGATTTTTTTTTAATGAATAGTTTTCCTAAAGAAATCCTGAAATCTTTAAAAGTTTCCCTAAATAGAACTATTACATTATTACCTTTACATCAACAAAAACGAGTATTTTCAGAATCTGAAGCAATGTCCACGGTCGATTCCCCTCCCACAGTGGTCGTAGCCAGCTTGAGGATATCATGGTTCACCGTCAATGGCACGCTTGATGACAAATGATGATGATGATGAAGACGTTGTTGGTCACCACGACGACTTCCCACACCAAGGAAGTCTCTGGTCAGCTCTTCTTCTTTATTCTTCGGCTTGAAACAACTAAAGTTTGGCATGTCATTGCTGAAGATGGAGGAAGTCATTAGCCCAAACATGGGGTTAGCGTTGGAGCTCGATGATGACCCCATTTGAGCCGCCTTTTGAAGCAATGTGGTTGCCGACGAGGAAGACACATGCCCTTCTTGGTTGTTCAAGAACAAAGATGCTATGTTTGGACCGGTTGGGCTCGAGCCACTGTAGATAATTCCCTTCTTGATCTCATCTTCTTGATTCTTGGATATTCTCTCATGAAGAATGTTTTTATTGTTGTATTCATCGAGTAGCCAGCTCTGTGAACCGTCTCCTTTTAACTTCCAGAGATTGTGAACGGAATCAGATGTACCACGAGGTGATTGTGGCGATGGTAACGCGAAAGCATTGGCTTGTAGGGGGATTTGGTCAGAAGTGGTGAAGTTGTGTCCCAAAAAGGTGGTTTGATTGGGGTTGACGTTAAAACCGGCCGTACGTGTGAGGGACTGATCCAAATGTGATTGAATAAGAACTGGATTGTTGGTAGTAGCCGCTATGGAGATGGTCGAATTGGCAGCTAAAGGTGATGGGACTGATGAGACAAATTTAGCACTTTCTTCAGCTAACGAATCACAGAAGGCTCTATGTGTGATGAAACTATCCTTCCTGAAACAATCAATCAAATCATTCATCACATAATCTTTCTCAATATATATGGAAATGTATACTGTAGGTCCTTTCTCTTTTTATAATTCCATGGGTCTTCTTGTACGATATATAGGTAAATCTTTATTAAAAGCAAGCTTAGGATATAAAAATTGTGTATATATATATATATGTACCACTTTATCTAATGCAAGTATAGAATCGATGTATCTAATAAGGTGGAAACGGAAGACTTTAGGTTATTGAGACATGACCACATGATGTTCTAATCATGCATATATAAACCTTTTTCACCTCGATAGTGGTGTCTCAATAAAACTACAAACTGGACCAAAACAAAAAGAAGCCAAGAAATAATAAAAGGTAGTATTAGTGGTATCCAAACGACAAGCTACGAGCCAAAGACAACGTACTAGACATAACATACACCCAATAACCTACAACGTAGGTTAAGAGTATAATAATTCGTACTATTAATATTTTCGTGTCATAATCCGGACAGAAATATAAACATATACGTTTATGAATTGCTGAAAAGACAAAAAAAAATAAAATAATAAACCAAGCATAGTCTAAATTGTATATATACACATACATCTATATGGTGCTATAGTACAAAGGCAATCTCATGCTTTTTGCATACATGCACCCTTGTTAGATGTCTGGATATAGGATCCGGTTAGTTTCAAATTCAAAATTAAAGAATATTTCCGTTTGCTTTGTACGTTTATAAATTAGAAAAAATATTGATAGAAAACTAATGGAAAAGTTTATTTTTCGAAAATAAAAAGTTAAAACAATAACTTAACGTGTAAAGGACCAAAAAACCAACAAAAAACTTAACGTGTCAAGGCTTCAGACCAAGACGTAGAGATAGTAATGAGTAATGACCTGGAGAAGAGTGTACCACAATCACATCTATACTCTCTGTTACCACAAATCTTGCTATGAGCTTTCAAATCGGATATCACAGCATACTTCTTGGAACACTTGTCGCATTTCAACTTTTTCTCGCCATGTTTCCTGCTAAAGTGCTTCTTGATTCCGGTTAGGTCTCCTAAGGCTCGAGCTGGATCATGGTGGACGCAGCTCTTCTCAGGGCAAATGTACACTTTCTTCTTCACTTGCTCCTTGTTGGTTCTTTGCTTCAGCTTCCATGGGAGGTTGTGGCCTCTTTTGTGAAGCTGAAGATTCTGTTCTCTCTGAAACCCTTTGCTGCATATTTCACAGAAGAACCGATTTGTCGCCATGAGGGATTTTGGAGATAGAGCGACCACTTCTGCATCTGGATCTGCTTTTTTGTTGTTGTTGTTGATAAAAACAAAATTAAAACCAGGAAGAATAAAAAATAATCAAAAGGAAACAAGAAAAGACAAAATATTTAGACTTGATCAAATAAGTGTTGATCTCGATCAAAACACATCATAAGAATTCAAAAAATTTGAACCCATCGAGAAAAAAAAATTACATATACGTGCCTGGATTTCCTGGGTGGTTTCTCTTTCTCTTAGATGCGTTAGTGGAGACAGGCTTAGAGTTAGGGTTCGGAATTGAGGTTATGTGTTCTTGTTCATGGACAAAACTAGAGAATGAGAGACGGTCATGATTATGTGGAATCATCATGTCTTAATTCAGAGTAAGAAGACAAAAGAAAACTCTTTAGTTTGTCTTGAAGTTCTATACTAAAACAAGCAAGAATCTGAGAGCAAGAAGACAGAAAATGAGAGAAATAAAAGAAGCAAAAAAGTAAGAACGAAAGTGATTGATCTAATTACAGTAAAACATTGTGACTTATAGGAAGTAAAGCAAGATATTTTTATGGGTATAAAAAGTAGGATATTTTTTCTGAACTTTTTTTTTAGCAGATTATGTTAAAGTAGGACAATTGTCTAAATTTTTTAAAGCTTTTATTCTAAACTTAGTATTACTAGCTTAAATTTCTAATAATTAATTAATAGCACAAATTCAATATCAAAAATAATTTAAATTGTTTTCTAATGGAGTTAAATTAAACCATAAATATAAAATAGGGAACTCAAACCTAATGTTTTAATTTTATTTTTATTTATTTATGATAAACAACTACTACCACATAGTTATTTGTGCTATTTTCAGAATTTTAATTTTGGTATACTAGTGGAGCAAAAATTAATTTTAGGGTTATTCTAAAAAATTTCTCTAAATTTTTATATAGTTTTAATCGATTTTTGTATGTTGTAGAAATTGTGATGGGTGAAGTTTTGATCACTTGTGAAGAGTCAGTCTTGTAGAATAACACCAAAAAGAAAGCTGACTAGAGGGAATCTCTCTCCCTTTACACACAACTGTCCTCTTACAAGTCGGTCAGCGATAGGCTCAAACTGGACCATTCTCAATCTAGTGTAACATTAATCTTCATTCAATTTCATTTGACAATTTTACTTTTGAATTTAAGATCTTCATATTAACTAAAATTCTCATGTTAATGTACTTTTTCATACGATTTTAAGAAATTTAATATACGATTACAAATTTTTTTCTCACTCCTAATTTTTCTATTACTATTTAGTCATATGCCTCTGTTTTCTCTGATTTTTTTTCTTCTGATTTTGGCATTAATAAATATGACTATTGGTAAATAAACAAGAATGAATGCTAACATTGTATGATTGTAGCATATGCCGAACAACTTCAAACTTTTGTACTATTTTCTCTCTATATATGTAAGTTGACTAAAAATTAAGACCCCAAATTTCAGTATTGAAACAATATGTGAATATAAACCGACGCTGTGTGAATAGTTGACGGATCACAGGGAAAAGGAACATGATTTTTTGGTAGATACATGAATTATTTGCTTAAAACAATTTAATTTAATTAAATACATCACAAGCTACTGATGAAACCGGCTTTGTGTGAATATCTTAGATGGATCACAGAGAAAAAGGTACATAATATATTGATATATATATATATATATATATATGATCATGATGAAAATGTTACCTTTTAATTTGATAACAGTAATCAAAAGTTTGGCTAAATCATTTAGGAGTGAGACAAGTGACATCACATCCATACTTTAAAAAGAACAATTTTATTTAGATCCCACTTCATAGATTAGGAGAGGACACCATTAATTGCATGTATATGTATGCTTAATGAAACTAGTTATTATTCATTATTCCAAATCAATTAAAATTTATTTTTCATATTTCAGAATCATTAATTCTTCCACACTGTTCATTGCTTTAGTCGCGCTTCCTGAAATGTTTGTTGTCTTAAATGATAGAAGATAATTCTTTCCCTATTTCTCTTTGAATCGACAGTAGACTCTGCCACAAGAATCATGTACTCAAAGTAGGGTTGGAATTATTATCCGGTATCTGGTATCTGATCCGGTATCCGCTCCTATCCGATCCATAAAAACTGAATATTCATGTAGTTCGGATTCGGATCTGAATAGTAAAATTAAGTATTCGGTTATTTCAGATACGGATCTGGATAATATAAAATTTTGAAATCGGATATCCGTTATCCGTTTATTAAGTATTTATTTATTTTGATAATATTTTAGCTTATGATATTGTTTTTACTGTTTTAAGTGCTAATGATTATTATCATTTACAGAAGTGAGCACATTGAATATACAGCCATGATTAATGATCATATTGAGTGTGAAGTTTGGATGAGGTAAGAACCAGTTTAGAAATCTTTGGATATGCATTCAATTTTTTGTTTTAGTTATGTGCGAAAATTGTTTTTGGTTTAACTCATTTACATATGATTGAAATTTATATTGCATAATAATTTTCTATTTTAGATTATGAGAGAAATACATGAAAATAGATAATACATGGATATGAAGATAAATTAACTTCTATATTACTATTTTCTCTTGTGCTATGTAAACTTTTAAACTTTGTGCTATTTGAATGTTTTTTAATTTTTGGTATTTGTAATTTTTGCTATGATTATACATTTTAATTATATATGTTATCTCATTATAATTTTTAAAAATTGAAGATTTTCTTTTAAATCAACGAAACCAGATATCCGTAAATATTCGGCTCAAACGGATATCCGGAGTTTTCGGATCCGGATCCAGATAGTAAAATTGATTATCCGGCGAATCCGAAACTGGATTCGGATACCTTGAAAAGTCCGGATATCCGGCTCTGTTCCAGTCCTAAGTCAAAGCCCTTATGCGCTTGCGGAGGTAGAATGGAAAAGGAGTAAAATTTGCAATAATATAAGTAAAGAAAGACAAATAAACAAACACGATAATTTGGAGATGACATCAACATATAAAGGATATAAAAAGAAAGGTTTAGAAACGAAAATAGAAAAGGAAGAAAGGACGGTGGGAGAAAGGGGATTGTCTTTACAGCCAACACTCAAATGATGGGGTAAGCAAATATTTATTACATAATTAAGGCATAAGTACATAATTGACCTTTAATAATCAAAGATACATACACATTGATATAGAGGCAGAGGAGGCATGTGAGAGAGCCTGTCCCGATTGGGCATCATGAGACTTATGATACCAAAGTGTTTACAAATCACACATCATGACACTTATTATCAAAAAAGTGTTTTATAGCCGTGGGATTTCAAGCCAAATCTTAATCATCTGGTATCTTGTTTCGCCAGAAATTTCAGTAAATTATTTGTAATTGCTAGATATATGATTTTAATGAAATTTGATCCGTTATTTATGACATATCATAGGTCCATGAGATAATACTTCAGCTTTAGTTTGTAAGTTTTTGGGAAAATGTTTTAGGAGATGAGCTTTTTCCTAGATATATAGTGCTCTCTTAGTGTTGTATTCAGTTTACAAAATTTCTTGGTGTTTTATGTCCCTTTTTCTAAAGATTTTAACTTCTTTTTCTTTTAATGAATCTGCTTATATGCCAACAAAATTAGAAAAGCATAGGGCCCAATATGAAACCGGGCTTGGATACAGTAAAACTAACGATTTCAGAACCAGACCAAAATCTCTAATTTTATAAACCAGAAAGAATTCATTTTCTCATCGACTCAAATCAGCAATTCGATTTAGATCCGCGGAATTTTTCTGAACCTCCCACAATTTTAGTACATAACGAAGTATTGTGTATTTTTATTGTGAAATTTCCTTAAATAGTAACTACTATTTAAATATTTATCGTAAAACATTCAACATTAAAGCCCAAAAACAAAAGTCGTTGGATTATCTTAAGTTTCTACTACGACTCCACGTCTCTTCCTAATCATCAACATTCTCTATATTCTTAAGTACCCCCAGATTTGACTTTATTTACCATTTCGCCTTTCCTTCACCACTCTCCCATTTTACTTTTCTCCCTTTCCATTTTTGTTCCTTTCCCAATTTTACCGTAAAATACAACAATGGCGAGAGGCTCTTCCCAGTCCCAACAATCAACCTCCACCGCCTCATCAACCGCTCGGCCCGGTCTGGCCGCTCCCCGTGGATCCGCCGCCGCTACGGCCGGCATGCGTCGCCGTAGACTCGGCGGTGGCGGAGGATTATCGTCAGGAGGCGGATCGGCGGCTGGATCAGGATCGAGCAACATGCTGAGATTCTACACCGATGAAGCTCCAGGGCTGAAGATCTCACCGACCGTCGTCCTCATTATGAGCCTCTGTTTCATCGGCTTTGTTACGGCTCTTCACGTCTTCGGAAAACTCTACCTCCACAAATCCGGATCCAAAGCATAGATCCGGATCTGGATCTTTTTCTCCTCCGTATGTTTAATCGGTGCATGGTTGCTTGGTTTTTTTTTGTTTTTTTTTTTTTGACTTTTTCTTGTATTCTGCTTCCTCTTTTTGGTTTTCCTTTGTTGGCGATCTAAATCGCTAAACGTTGAATAAAACATGTTACTTTTGGAAATTCGGATCATAACTAACTACAAATTTAGAGATATCATGATAAGATTGTGAAGGAATTAAATTATGTTAATCTAACATTGTGTAAAATAAATCCAAACTAGCTACATTCTGTTTGCATCGATTTTTTTGTCCATTATTCTTTTTTCACATCGACTAGTACTACGAGTGTATAAATATGTGATGCTTTTGGCCAAGAGAGGAACAATGTAGAAATTCCAGAGACTTATTTCGTGTCAAAACACGATCGTCTTTTACAGAGAGAATAACAATCAATCACCAAGGCTAAAAGTAGATGAATAATCGAAAAGTAAGACCAGGAAACAAGTTGTAGACGATATAATATTTCAGCGTATTGTATAAAGTTACTAATTGAAGCTTGTGTAAGCTTGGATAACAGAAGCGGCGGACCCGACAAGAGTAAAAAACAAGAGAAGAATAGCGGCCATAGTAGCAGTTCCGGTCCACAAATCTTTGAAGTAGACTTTGTTGAGAGTGGCCCAACACCTTTTTCTGCGAGATGTATAGTGAGCTCTGAGATTCACTGCTATGCTGTGATATTGTGAGGTCTTCGATTCAATCAGGCCAATCTTTAACTTGTTCACCATGTCCACCGTCAATCTCGGCCTACCCCCACCGTTCGTTAGCACCCCTATATATATGTTTCAACAATACAATATTCATATATCCAATATCATCAATTCAATAAAATCAAATAAAGCAATTATTGTTATGTTTTTTTTGTTGTACCTTCCTTTTTGAGTAACTCGACGTCTTTATCCTTAGTAATTAGGAAATTTAAGAAATGTATGTAGTTAGAAGTAAATTTTTCTACATTAGCATGGCACTGCTCATATGCAATGACATTTCTTAAAACTTTATCAGATGTATCGTCCGTACGGAAACTTGACATCACTAAGCAACCTTTGTTAAACTCCATGTGCAGAGAATAATTATCAGCCTCCTCCTTTCTGATGGAGATCGAGTCTAACGGCTCTTGATTCCGGAAAAACAGGCGATTTATTCCGTCCAGCTTTGTGGAGTTCAAGAGATGGAAGGCCTGAAAAAAAAAAACAAGAAAATGTCCGTTTTTAGATATCTAAACACAATGGTGAAAAAATAACAAAGCACTACTTAAGAGTATTATCTTTTTAAAAAAAAAAAAATCTTAATATGCTTCTATATTAGATAGATAAGTTAGGTTAAATCATTTTCTGTATAATTGTATATCTCCCAATCGTAACTCTCATCAAACTCCAAAAGAAACAAACTACGATTTTGAACGAAGGTTGATTATCAAGAAAAGGTACGTAGAATATGCATGCACTGCATCAGTTTACCTTGAAATCTACTCCTACACGGGATAGGTTTTGTGCGCTCTCCATCTCCTCAATAGCTGGTCCAATCATTAGCTTTGGAGATTGGTCAAGCGATTCCTCATAAACACACCGGAACATGTCTGTGAAATGATTGAAGTTTGTATTTGTTTTGATCTTTGTGTGCAGGGAAAATAATTCCAGGAAGAGTTGGCCTGGCGTCTCATATCCAAGAAATTCCATCAAATAGGGACCAAACGATTTATCGAAAATGAAATAGGGAAGTTGGTTCTCGAGCATGATGAGATCTCCAATCACATTTGCAGTGTGAATCTCGTTGTCCACGATCGGGTCACCTGAACTTCCACGAGACTCTTGAAGTTTGATACTGAACTCCATGATGAATATTGAATCCTTAAGAACAAGGTCCACCAAATCTTCAGGTGATATCCATTCGAGCGGCTCCGCGTAGCTTGCCCGAATATTTGCTTCTTCCTTGCGTATCGTTTCCTCTATTTCCTTAACAATATCTTCCCCGACTCTTTCGGTGAATGATTCTAAGTACTTCACCTTTTTCTCATCCATCTTCGTATATTCATTTTTTTTATGCCTGACAAACATCCATCACCTCATTAAAACTTTGGATTAATATACAAATGACAATTCCATTTAGTCACTCAACAAATTAAAGTTAAGAAGGAGATGTGGAATACTATTGTTTCGTTTAAAATTAATAACAATAATTAATCGAGTGACGATGATTTTATGTTTTATTTTTAATAATTCAGATGATTCGGCTGAATCAGAGGATTTTCATCCCCTAAACACCGACTAATCCTAAGGTTTAGAAAAACTATGTAAAAGCTCTGATGGCCAAATAGAATAAATGTTGTAATTTTGCTTTGGGAGGGAGTCGATTCCCTAGACTAACATGGCGACTCTCCCATAGAATGAAACTACTTTACTGCTACCACTTGGTTGATGATTTTATGTTTTTAGATCTAGTTTATCAATATTTGATTCATTTGCCTATCTAGTTTAAATCGAAATTTTTTTCTCATCAAAGTTTTATTGGATTTTTCTTGTGTTCTCATTTCATGCAAAAGTTTAAGATCTTTGATGGCTAACTTAAACAATGAATCGAATAAACAGTAGCCCTTAGAGCATAATTATTGCAGATTTTTAATAGAGTCTCTTAGTATTTTTTATTATTAAAAATAAAATAAAGTATGTGGAACCTACTATAATAACTAAAAAATGTCTCTTAATTGAGGACTATAAAAGACGGTTTCCAGCGTATGAGACTCATTTTAATAATAAAAAATTGTTTAAATACCCATATGAGTATTCAGCGTTGATTATGGTCTTATGTAGTCGCAGATACATAAAACAATAATTTTCTTTATCAAAACAGAAGTACGTTTTCTGTCCAAAACAGTTTTTTTTAGTTTTCTACTATTCCACTTATGGATATTTATTATTTCTGTTGCCAAACAAAAAAAATTAATTTCATTTATCTGTTTTATTTATTTCCAAAAATCAATAAAATAATATATTTTATTTTTAAAAAAAAAATTCGATAATTTTTAAATTTAAATTCAATTAGTTTAGATTTCTTAAATATAATTAAGATTAATTATCAAAATTATAAAATAATAAATAAGATATTAACTTATTTTCTTTTTAAATATCCAAATTTAAATAATATTCTCATGATAATAAAGATAATAATTGATATATTATTATATATTTTTCATAATCAATTATTTTAAAATTTTAAAAATTTAAAATTAAAAAATATATATTCTATGGTAAATATGAATATATAGGGTAAAATTATGTTCTTATATTCATAGTTTTTTTCGGATTAATCGAATGAACGGGTTAAAATTATGCTTTATAATCGTAGTCAAATTTATTAAAAAAAATAAATTTTAAAAAGTAAATTTTATCTAAAACACAAAAATAAATTATATCATTTATTAGAAAATATTATATCTATAAAAATACAAAATATATTATAAAATTAAATTTAAAAAAAAATTCCGTGAGGACGCATAAAATAGAATATAGTACTTTTAATATATAGAAAAAACTAGCATATTAAAATCCAGTATACACATTCTGCACAGACATTTTTTTATATTTTGACCAAAATAGTTTTAAGAAAAAATTCTATAAAAACAAAAAATTTCTCCATTTCATAAAAAGATACTACACTTTCATTATTGATTGATATCCCAATTTACTTACTGAAACTTAGAACTAATATTTAAATATGCATAAATATAAGAAAACGAGAAGTTCAAAAAAAGGCTTCTGCGTTTAAAAAGATTATATATATATATATATATATATATATATATATAAATTGATACTAGTTGGCAGAAGAAGAGGATAAACTGTCAATTAATTTGAGTTTAGAAAAAGATGGAAAGTGATTAGGTTGTTGACTACTTGGTTTACTGGTTTACTGGGGGCAGAAAATGATTTTAAAAGGAGAGAAATAACGGAAGCTTTAATAAAATACAAGAAACCTGGAAATTTCATGGGGAGCAAGGTGACCCCCTTTGGTACATATACATCCGCCCATGAATGTTTTTTTTTCCTTTTAAGTATTCTCTTTCTTATTTTATATTTCAAGAAAATATTAACAAAATAGTATGTACATATATATTCGTGTGCGTATGTTTTATGTGTCTCACGTACCCTGGTTTCAGTTTGACAGGACGATGAAGCGGGCCGATGAGTACCATCCGAGGTGTATAGGCGTCGGGTTTCACATTACGCATTTGGCCTGGTACTCTGTAGATGCAAGCTGGATGATCCATCTTTGATAAGTAAAGACCTTCTTCTTTTTATCTGCAGCAAGTTTTGTTAGAGATCTAGTACAATCCAACAATAGCATATGTATTAAAAAAAACCATAGCTTATGTAAAAAGTAAAGAGAAAATGAAGAGTCGGTTATCATATATAACATATTCGTCCCGTTCGATATCAAAATTGGTTGTAGTTATCATCTTCGTTCTCGTCATGTATGGTTATCGATTAAAAAAAAATATCAAAGACATAATACTAAGGAAAGAGGAGCTTACTGTTGATATGGATGAGCTATATAAAACCCTTTACGATTTTTCTGTCCTAGATTTAGAGCAGGAAGAGGGGTCTTATAACATTGAGAAACAATTGTCAGAGAGGAAGATGATCATATTATATGAATAAAATATCGCAACTTGCGATATTATATAATGAAATGTAAAACTACCTTCCACTTACCAAATTCAAATAAACTTCTTAAATTTGTTATTTTTTTAATAAATCTAATTTTTTATTGTTTGTTTTGTGTTGTAGATTTACGAATATCCAAAACATTTGAATCAAATCAAAACAGATCGAATTGAATTTAATGTTTAGATGTCTTTTATAAGCAGGAAAATCTGTGAGAAAATTCATACATATCTCCTAGACCAGGACTATCCTTTAATATTTTTACCAATGAACTCGATATTGTATTCTCTTGCAGTACCCATGAAATTTCCAGTGTAGCTATCAACATTTGGTATTAACGTATATTTTACTGATGCCTAACAAATAACTAGTGCAACTTGTGATTAGAATAAGGGAATGACATATTGTCACGATACATACATTGTTAATATATATATATATATATATATATATATATATTGACGAAGTTAATATATGTGCTGTGTGCATGGCGAATATTTCTTATCAATTTCAAATGTAACATAATTTTTATGTTGTAACTTGTAAGTAATACATGAACCGTTCTGGTCCGCGCTTAATTAGGTCCATTTTTTAATGCTTAACGTTATAGTCAACGTAATAATTTACTTTTGTGGAATCACAATGGTGACCTTGTTGAGTTTAAAGTTATAGGATTCGTCATGACTCATGGATGCGGTGGGCATACATTGCATCGTACATTTGAAAACTCTGAACCTCGTCTCCATCTCAGAGAGGCTCTTGGGAATAGAGGTATAGCTCATTCCAATTTTCTAGAGATACATCCAAACAAAAAAAGTTCTCTTTTTTAGTGAGAAAAAAATAAGACAACTTTTTGTTTTCTAGTTCTCTGACTACTACAGTACTACGATATAATTAAGCTGTGAAAGTATTTTTTTTTCACTTAAAATTAGCTCAAGAACGACCGCTAGAATATCAAGCTATTCCGGAGCAGAAGTGCTTTATAAAAAAACCGGGCATGCTGAAGCTAACAAACCAGCTTGTAAATTGTCACAGTCTTTTTTTTAGTTTAAGATGAATAAACTGAATATTAATCAAGTAGTAAGAAAAAATATAGATCAACATCAGCAGCTTAATTATTTTAGTATTCAATAGTACATAGTTTAGAATTAATTTGCACAATCTCATTATGCTAATTTATTTTAAATAGTTGCTACTATTTAAATATATACAGATTTGAAATTTTATAAATCTATTGTCAAACTAAAAATAAGTATACATTTATACTCTTGTATTTGTATTAATCAGCAATTATAATTAGTATATTCCAATTAATATTACTCCCATTTCGCTATTTATTTATGTTGAGTGTCTTTTTAAGATGTATGGCTTTATAAATTTCTAAATTTGTATGCTCTAATTAAGAATTAGTAATAACTATGCATTTGTAATCTTTATATGTTAATTAATCAGTAATCATAATAGTTATGCTTATGCAAGTAAAAACTAATTAGATGATGTCATGTGTTGATGATGTGGATGCACAAGAATAAAGAAAAACTAACTTTATTATATTAATAGGTTTTTATTAGAGAAAGAGAAAGATGAAATGCACACACACACATCAAGAGAAATTTCTTGATCGTTTTGTCTGAAATGGCTGTCAGAAAAAAAAAGTTTATAAAAAATAGAGAATTAATCGCGTGGATTCCGTGGAATAATCCGACTGGGTCACGATAACGATACGTTAGATTTCTAATTTATAGTATTATGTAAAGTTCAGAGAGAGAAGAGAGAAAGATGAAATGCATACACAAACACACACATCAAGAGAAATTTCTTGATTTTCAGATTATTATATGTTTGTCTTCATAAAAAAGAATTTATAAAAATATTATTCCGTAGAATAACCCGATTGGGTCAAGAGATAGAGATACGTTAGATTTCTACTTTATGATTTTTGTAAATTTCAGCCTCGTTCTGAAGGAGAGTAAGTCAAAGTTTACTTCAACATCTTACAATGACATCTAATAAGTTATAATTGTTATACTAATTATATAACACTTGTTTTTATTATTAAGATTGATACCTCAACAAGTCGACATGGTTGTTAGCTAACTTATTCTAGTAGTCGAGTACAGTTCAAAGTTCCCTCTTGTAGACGTCTTTTATGCTAATTTTAAAATTGTATATTAAAAATAGAAAATGTATACTTGCTTGTAGCATGGACATCAACCTTGATGTTGCTAACTCAAATTTTTCAGGGATAAAAAATTGCAAACTCCGGACAAACTTTCTATGGTCTACATATCACTTGACGCTTATAATCTAGAAATTTGTCATTATTCTGTACATATTTTCTGTAGAACCACAAAAATAGACAGACAAAAAATTGCGATTGAACTGATTATATAAACGGTAATAAGCAATAATAAGCGATTAAAATATAAACTAAAGTGAGATAAACAGTTGCAGAGGAAACGATATGAAACGGAAAGAAAGGAGGAACAAGAGGATTGAAAAACGTTTTAAGAAACCCGAAGAAACGCTGAGGCGAGATTTCTCTCTTTCCTTAACTCAAATGAATCGCCCGTTAGTGTGACGGTTCTGTACGATTCTTGAGTCCCAGGATACAACGCGCATGAGACCGTTTCGCAACACTCGAAAACGGAATCTATGAACTTAGAAAAATACTATGCTATACTCTCGGAACTTACTTAACGAAAGAGAAACTGTTGGAAATTTATGTGTATTAAACTTGGTGAGAAATAAGGAAAGGGAAAGCTTTCTTATATAGCCAAGAGAAGAGCTTGTTTTGATTTTGAAGTCAAACGAAATCAATTATTCCGTGAGACTCGCTCAGAATAATTGGCTGGAGTAAATGGTGATCGTGGGCGAAAAATCTGGAACGAATATTCTTTAACGGAAATATTTGAACAGATTTCTCCAAAAATAAATGTTTGTTTTGACCCAAACATTTATCTGAGTCTGGCCCAAAAATATAGTTAATGGACCGGAGGCCCTCTACCACGCGCCACGCCGAGCCGAGCGAGCGCGCGGGGGAACCATCTCTCCTTCCAACAGCTTTTAGATTCCCAAGAGTCTTCTCCCCTATATAAACAAGAAGATTTCTCCTTCTTTACCCGATGTGGGACAATTCCCCATCTCCTCATTTACATGTTGCCTTCTAAAAGGCTTTCTCTTTATGAGCCCAAGCCTATTTCGTTTTCACACATACAAAATTTTATAAAGCCCACATGCTTTATTAAAATTAGTCCAACATTTTTTGCTGGAATAAGAGTGATATATATTTGAAGCACATTATTATAAAGTTGTACACCTAAGAAGTAGTTCATTTGCCCTCTCGACAGCTCGAATTTATGTCATCAATTAAGTATAGAAATTTGTACTGGCCGGTTTGATGAGCCTAAGGAAAGGGTCTGCTTGAAAGCAAGACTGAACTGAGAGAGTTGATGCATATACTGTATTGGTTACATTTTGCAACTAGTTATTGTTGAATAAAAACCTGAAATGTTTGTGCTTATTTTTTCTTAACCAAATGCAACCCTAAATTTGGAAGAGTCAAACATTTAACAAAAAAAAAGAGATAATACAACAACAAAAAAATTCACATACGATAAAAATCATTTTATGAATACCTTGATATTAATTTTTAAATAATCTTGTCCGTGACTACTAAAATGGATGTATTTTACAAAGTTAAAATAAGCAAGCAATATGAGCTTTGTTGTCATTTTATTACGTATTACACAAACATTGATTAACTCTTTAGCTCTTATTTGATCGTTTATATTGTATATTCGAGTCACAAATATTTTGCGAGTTCTGTGTGATCAGTTGCATCCTCTTACGCATATAATTCATATTAGGACATACTTTGGGAACTAAAAAGGAAGTTTGCAGACGTGAGAAAATGTATTTCATGAGTATATATGTCTAATTATACAACTTATGAACATGAACTATAATAGGGTCACGGGGCCATTATGTGCTGATACCGACCATGATATATTGTCTACGAGAGCTTCCGGACTTTATCGAAAATTTAGCCAAAAGGAAACAATAACGATGCATCTCTATGAGGCTCATCCAGAGACTATCTATCTTTCACAGGCCAATAGGCCATATACTGTGTTTGCCGTTTTTTTTTTTTTGGTCGTCGTGTTTGCCGTTTATGGTTACTCTTTTACAAATGAATTTTGTATAAATCAGTAAAAAGTATGTTTTTATTCAAAATGAAGGTATTCGCACGTAAAATAATTAAATGATATAAATTAAATTCTAAGCCTATTTATGAACCGTGTTGAATTGACCAAAGAAGCATTATTGAGATCGAGTGGAATGGTCCAAGTGATCAATGTAAAATAGGCAATAATTGTTCAATGTCCGTGAAAAAGCCCAAACAATGTGCGCAATAAAGAACTTCATTCCAACATCTGACCGACTGACCCAGTATGAACAAAAGGCCCATGATAAATGGGAATCGATCCCAGAACATTCCGATAATTCTTATGAGAGACCACAAAATAAGCATACATTTTACGATTGATAGAAAGAAATGAATACAAACCAATATAAAAATTGACAGATTCAATAAGTTTTG